GGGGACCTCTGCTCCCACAGTGAGGCTTAGAAGAGTTCACACAGAATCTCTCTTCATCAGCAGATCCCGGAGGTGCATGGAAGAGCAAGAGCATGGCCGGCCGTGAACCAGACAGGGTTCACTTCTAACTTGGCCTCCTCCAAATATGTGAGGTTAGAAATGTTACGTGCTTGGTGGTAGATGCTGTAATCCCAGCACTCTAGGTAGAAGGGCTGTAAACTGGAGCTCTAGGTAAATTAGTGACTTAATAAGACCCTGTTTTAAACTTTAAAAAAAATGTTTAAAGGGCTGGGGATATAGCTAGTGCAAAGGCCCCAAGGTTCAATCCCCAGGACAGAAAAGAACTCGGAGGAGGAGGAGAGAACCCCACTGGTACTGAGAATTCCCTGTACCTGAGGGGAACACACAGAACCTTCCAGTGTGCTGCAGGAACCTTCTTGGATGAACCAGAATGAGTCAAACCCGAGCTCGGGAGCAGCCCAACCTTGTCCAGGACAATCAATACAGGTTTCCCATGTTACGCAACAAGCCAGTTCCTGAAAAGTTGGAGATGAATCAATCTTTTTCCTCAGTTCCATGTATAGGGACATCCAGTCTCAGCTCCGAATGATGCTGAGGCTACAGGGGACACGCATGCACACATGCACGCATGGGCGCACTCTGCCTTCTGAACCATGCAATCTGTGTACCAAAGCAGCCTGCTCGTGGCATTGTGTGGCAGATCCCTTCAGGAAGCAAAGGACTCTTGAGCATGGGAAGAACTACTTCCTCATTCAGTCCTTACACACGTGTCAAGCTGGCTTCCATCACCAAGGGCTACAAGCCTTTAATGAACACTGTTCCCATTCATGGCATAGCCACACCTGATAGTCTTCCATTTGGTATGGGTGGATAATCCCAAAGCACTTCCTGCATTTTTGTACCGAGTGCCAAGTGTGGTGGTGCATGCTTGTGACCCCAGTGCCCAGGAGGCTGAGGCAGGAGGATCAGCACATTGGAGGCCAGCCTGGGCTAATAGCAGGTTGGGGCCAACCTGAACTACATAGTGAGACCCTGTCTCTAACCACCTCCCTTTAATTTTTAAAAAAAAATTAAAAAACCTTGCCGGGGAGGAAAAGCCAGCCTCTGTCATGCTCCTCTTACAGGTGAGGCAGCTGAGGTGCAACGAGTAGCTCTTACTGTAGTGGGAGTGCTGGCTTCTCAATCTGCAAAGACTGATGGGCATGCAGCTCAGACCTCACCCTCAGGGAAAGCTCTGCACTGAAGCCTGAGCTCACTCGGCCCTCGCCTGCCTCATCTCTGGCCCTGCCGGGTGTCCAGGCATCTCCTCCCAGCACACAGACCCAGGCACGCAGAGCTGGATCCCTGCTCTCCCCAGCACCCTGCAGCCGGCTTGTCTGCAGCCCTGCCTCTGCCTGAATGCTGGCTCTCTCTGTGGGTGACCCTACGCATCACTGTACATGTATTCAGTTGACACTCACTGAGCCCCGCTTTTATACTGGACACCAGGCTGGAAGCTGGAGACATGTGACGGTATAAGGCAGCACTCCTGTCCTCTTCAAACAGTGTGATGGAAGGGGTCATGAGAGATGGTCGGAGAGAGGACTTGACTGCACCCAGCATGGTATTTACATCTGTCTGTAGGTGCTGGGGATATCTGGGTGGTGTTCTGAAGGATAAGTAAGAGTTTGTTAGATTGGCAGGGGGAGGGGTGAGGAATCCAGGGGGATGGAACAGCAGTGTGTGATGGCGGAATCGATTTGGGGCCCTGCCCGTGGCAGGCAGAGACCGCGGTGAGGAAAGTGAGGCTAGGAGGGGAAGCAGGAACCCGGAAAAGAGCTTACTTTGCTACACTGTGGTATCCAGATTTTATCTGAGGGTTCCTGAAGGCTTTTAGCCAGAGCCTGATGTGATGAAATTCTAGGAAAGTGACTCCAAGAGCTATGTGGGGAGTGGACTGAGGGGACAGATACTTTTGCTTTGCGCGCCACTGTGGCTCCAGCGCTCAGTAGGAGTACTGGTGCAGAGGAGGTGCTTACGGCTTGCTGAGGGTGGGTAAGTGACCTAGCACCTTGCTGCAGGAGTCAGGCCAGTCCTGGCCTCACATGAGGGGTGTGAACAGCATGCTGGATGCGGGGAATACACAAGGCTTCTGGGCGGCAGGGGCCAGGGAGGAAAATGGAACCCAGGCCAGCTTAGACGAAAGAGTTTAGTGTGGGGAACTAGTCACAAAGGTATTGGACGAACAGAAACAAAAAGAACCAGCAGGTGCTGCGGATGACTCAGAGATTAGCAGTATCAGGAAGCTGCTGCCACCCTAGTGCTAGAGGACAAGCGGTGTCACCTGACCCCAGAAGCCAGAGTCCCTGGGGTGCAACAGGACTACAAAGAGGAAGACGGGGTGCCATGAGTTGGGTTCCCCAAAAAGTGCACTCTGAGCTGCAGCGTAGCATCAGCTGGTATTTAGGGGCCCCTGGGAAGGAAGAAGCAGGATGGGCAGGGGAGAAGCCGGGTTGCGGTACAATCCCAAGACAGCCCCGAGGACGCCACCTGGGAGCTCTGGCACTGGGAGGCCTTCTGAGGTGGTTCAGCTGGGGCAAGAGGACCCGAGACGTCCAGGGCTGCAGGGTGCCTTTCCAGCCCTCCACAGCGCTGGGGATGGAACCCAGGGCCTTCCCCATGCTAGTGGGGATCTCCGTCACTAAGCTACCTCCCCAAGTTTTCACCAGGCCGGACAGGCGAGGTGGGCTGCAGCCACGCGGACAGGAGGGCAGACAGCCTGACCGCTCTGCCTCGCGTCCACTGGCACCTGTCCCTCCAGGTCCTCCCGCTGGGAGAACCGGGCGGGGCACCTGTGGGTGACAGAACACAGGAAACAGTTTGCTGAGGGCTAGACTTGGGGGAGGGGAGGCTGGGTGACTGGCGGCTGGCCTGAGAGGAAGCAGCAGATTCTCCCGGGAACCTGGCTTCAGGGCCTGGTGCTCAGGTGTTGTGTGTCCCAGAAGAAGCTGCAAGAGACACTCTGGGACACGCTGGGCCTGCCCTCTAGTGTGGGGGCCCAGCTGCGTGTGCAGGGGCTCTTAGACTCTGGCACAAGGGCATCTAGAAATGCAGGTCACCTCGGTGGGGTCTCTCCTGGACATTGGTGCGAGCACAAGCACCTCAGCATGGCACGGAGCTGGCACAATGCACACCCAACCCATCTTCCTAGGTTCTACTCCTGGCCACCCACCCATCAGACCAGCGGGCGACTCCCACAGTCACACATCCCAAGCCGAATGCTACCTTCCACCAGAGGCCTCACTACTTTCCCAGCAGATCTAATCTCCTCCCAGTCCCCATGGATTCCTAAGAGCTTGACCTCTCTGCCGTGTGTGGGCCGGTCGCCACAGCATGGAATGTAATATTTTCAGGTTTCATTTTCTCCCAAGAAACTGGGCAAAAATAACCCCGCAGGACAGTTGTAAAACTGAAGCAAAGTAGCGCGTGCGGATGCTGAGAACAGGGCAGTACAGGCCTCCCACGGCTCTGTTCTCACCGTTTAGATTTTCACACGCTAATCCCCAGCGCATAGCCCTTAGTAGATGCTTAACTGCCATTTGCTGAATGGAGAATTAATAAGGAAAAGGATTTATTCTTGGGGCTTGGCCTGGTTTTTTGAAATTAAGGCTTTAGCAGAAGTGCAAGAAGGATTTGGGTAACAGTAATCTATGTTGGGCGTCCAGGGACTCCAAACTGACCTGGTTCTCTCAAGAAAGAAAAACGACAGATCCCAAAATATTTTCACGAGGCTCCGTGGCACAGTGTGACCTTGCACACTCACCTACATCCCGCTGCACGAATGCACGCACACATCCTGGCAGGGGGGTGGGTGCAGGCAGCATCCCTAGGTGGCCTAAGTGACTTCCACCCCGCGCCCCTTACCCCTGAGCAGGCCGGGCCCCCTACCCCTGAGCAGGCCGAAGCCCGCCCTGGACTCCGTGGTGCTTGCAGGGGCCGGGAAGGGTAGGAATTCGGCGGCGGCCACGTGGGCCCCTTCCGCCGCTCCCCACATCCTTTGTTCCCACCAGCACTGGCTCAGGAAGCTCTTTCTGCGAGTCACCGCGGAGGGGCGGCCCGGGAGCTGGAGGAGCTATTTCCGTGCAATCCGGGCGGGCGGCAGGCGCGGGAGGGCGTGGAGGTGGAGGCAGCGCAGAAGGCCCTGTGTTTGCTTTTATTTCATCCAGCAGAAGGTTCTATTTGTGGAAGCGAACAGACGCTGGGGATTAGAGATGGGAGGGGGCAGGAAAAGGAAAAAAGCCACATCCACTACCACGCACAGGTCTTCCCCGGAACTACCGCGTGGGGGGAATGACTGATTCTGGAATTTATCACTTGCCCTCTCACCCCCTCCTCGGGCTGCAGCCGAGCTTCGGCGGCGCCCACGGCTCTAACCGGAGCTCCCCAGCCGCGGAGCAGCGGGGGATCCCCCGGCCAAAAGGGCTCAGCACCGGCGGCGGCAAGCGGCGCGCGCCAGGAGCCAGCCGCGCGCCCGCAGCCCATTGTGCTGTGTGAATGAGGCGCGCGCACCAATCAGCGCTCCCGTCGCCCCCGGTCCCGCCCCTCCCGCCCACTTCCCCGGGACCCTGACGTCACGGGAACTTTTCCTCCGCCCCCTCCCTCGCTACCGGCCCAGGCCGGGCCGGAGGGAGGGCGCGCTCCTCCTGCCCAGCCCTGCCCGGGGGGCGTGCGCGCGCCCTGGGCGGCCGGGACGCTCCACCTGCGCCCGGGCGTGCGCCGCCCCGAGCATCCCCAGCCCTCGGGCTACCCCATCCCCCAGCCTGCTCTCCCCTCCCTTCGCCTCTCTTCCCCCAGCCCCCTCCCTCCGCTCCGGTGACTGCGGCCCCGCGGCGGGGCCGGAGTCGTCGCAGCCACCTCATTGCACAACCCGGCTTCCCAACTGTTTACACAGCCCGGCCTGTGAGTGTGTGTGTATACAGCGTGAGTCACCAGGAGGCGGAGGAGGTGGAGGAAAAAGAGAAGGAGGAGTGCCCTGGCCCGGATCAGTGCGGCTCACACACTCACACTCGGCACTCTCTCCGAGCGCGTCTCGCTCGCTCGCACACCCGCCGGAGCCCAGGAGCGCGCTGGGATCCCGAGCGCCGCGGAAAAGTTTACTCCGGCTCTCACCCGAGACTAATTGCTTTGGGAAGTACATCAGCTCGGCGGAGCCTGCGGAATCTAGAACTCGCGGCCCCGGATCCTGGGAACGCAGGCCGCCTCCGTCTCTGGGACCGTCGACAACAATAGCGGCGGCCGCCCCCAAGCCGGCGCCCCGAGCCGGTGCCAGCGGGGGTCCTGGACCCCGAGCCGGACTACGACTCCCGGGCGCGCCGGCAACGTGGTCACCCCTGCGTGCAAGGCGAGCGCCAAGGAGCGGCTCCGGCTTTGCCCCTGGTGGGGGCCGAGCCAGACCCTGCCTGCAGACTCCATCCAGCGGACTGGAAGAAGTCACAGCGCGGGCCCCAAGCCCGCAGCGTCTTCCCTCGCGGATCCCGGGACATACAAAACCGGGGCCGTCCCGGCCGGGGCCGCGATGCGGGTCGGTCCCGTGCGCTCTGCCATGAGCGGCGCTTCGCAACCCCGCGGTCCGGCCCTGCTACTCCCTGCCTCCCGGGGCACCCCGGCCAAGCGCCTGCTGGATGCGGACGACGCGGCGGCCGTGGCGGCCAAATGCCCGCGCCTCTCCGAGTGCTCGAGCCCTCCGGACTACCTCAGCCCCCCCGGCTCGCCCTGCAGCCCGCAGCCCCCACCCGCCGCACCGGGGGTCGGTGGCGGCTCCGGGAGCGCACCGGGGCCCAGCCGCATCGCCGACTACCTGCTGCTGCCCTTGGCCGAGCGCGAGCATGTGTCCCGGGCACTGTGCATTCACACCGGCCGCGAGCTGCGCTGCAAGGTAGGCGTCCCGGGGCCGGGGCCGGGGCCGGGGCCGGGGCCGTCCGGGGCGGGCGGCCGACTGGCTTGGGGTCCCCAGGCGCGCGCAGCTCCGTCGACGCTTGGGTTTGGGGCGGGGTGGGTAAGTGCGTCGCGGCCGGCACTGGTGAGTTTGGCCCTTGGGGAGCCGGAGGGCTTTCCTGTGGAGTGGGATCTTGGGGGCTCTGCGGTCTGGAGGAAGTGCAGGGTTTCTTCACCGGCTCCACAGCCCTCCTGGCGCTCAGGGGCGCGTGGTATTCTGTTTAAGTTGTGGAATGGAAATGGATTTCAGGGTTAAGCCATTGCCCTTCCCTCACCCCCACACCGCCCTGTCGTGGCAGGACGCCCTGCCAGGAGGGAGCTTGCAGCAGCTGGCAGCTGAGGCCGAAGGTTTGCCGGCTTAGCTGTAGGTAGTGAAGTCGGGGTGCCGCTCCTGACTGGCCGATTCCCCCTTGAACCCGCGCCCGGGTGGGAATCCCGCCCTCCTAAGGGAGCAGTCGTAGGGGGTCTTGCAGCGGAGGCTAGGAATTTGGCCCCTAAAGTAGAAATGTTGGAAAGCCCGCACGCTTAGGAGCGTTTGCTTGTATTCACTGTTTCTCGGGCAGCGATTTTCTTTGGCGCAGAAGGGTTCGCATCCCGGAGGCGGCGGCGGAACCAACTCCTAGAAGTGGATCCGCCGCCGCCCAAAACCCCCGCGGTGCGCGTGGACGCAGCCCGCTCCCAGTCTGCACACTTCGCGGCTGACGCTGGGAACTCAGGCACCCCAGAACCTCGGGCTGCTCATTTCCATCCCCGGAGTTAAGTTGCTCCTGGGTTTCCCGAAACTCACCTGACACCCCGACCAACTCCCCCTGGGCTTGCTGCTGCCACCTACTGCCCACGCGCGTGAAATTACAAGTGCACCCTGGAGCCCAGTTTGTGTGTGTGTTGCGGGGGGAGTCTTTTTTCTTTTCTGGAAGTAGGCTGGGGGCTGTCACCGAGAGCTGCTTGGGGAGACCTGGGCAGTGCGGGAGCAGGGGACAGCAGAGAGATTTTTCCAGTTGGTGCCAGAGCCGCCACCTCAGAGGTGGGGTGGGTCCAGTCATTGTGCAACCCCTTCCAGCTCCTGTAGCAGATAATAGCCGAATCCAGATGGTGACAACCCGTGTGTCACCATTTCCACTTGAGTCTAGGATATGAGTAACTGGACTGGACAAAAGGCCCTTAAAGAGCCCAGCCACTTCCTTCGGGGAGATGTGCCCTGATCGAGGGACAGGGCGTGCCCCGTGGGGCGCACACAGATGAAGAAGCCCGTTCACAGGCGCCCATTCACCGCACCCTCCCCTCCTGGGAGAATGGAACTCTGGCTGCTGACACCTGAGTCACAACTCTAGGCAGGTTGCTTAAGCCTGCACCGTCACAGTCTCCTTCCAAGTCATCTGTTCCTTCTGACTAACGACAGCTAGGCATGCTCTGCGGCCTCTGCTTCCCCTTAGAGGCTGCAGAGTCACCACATTCTGTGCCTTCCCTGTGACCAGCCCTTCTGTGTACAGGAGACACATGCATGTGTGGAGCCTGCGCTTGAGCCCTGAGAGATGCCGAGGTACCTGGCATCTGACCCTCACAAACATGGAGGGGCCGTGGAGCAGGGCGTTTGGGGGCTGTCTTCATGGAAGACAGGAGCACACACAGAAGACAGTCCTTTAAGTTATTCACACAGAAGGGGCGACCTATGGGGGGTGTGCTAGCCCACAGTGCATAGGGAGAGGTGGTGGGGACCGGGAATAAATGAATGGAGCGCACAGCCATTCAGAGCTCAGAGGTTGAGACTCTCAGTCCAGCTCCCTCAGGGACTTGGAGGCAGCACCTGCTTTTCTAGCCCCCTAAACAGGTCGTCTTCTCTCTGCAGGTGTTTCCCATTAAACACTACCAGGACAAAATCAGGCCTTACATCCAGCTGCCATCGCACAGAAACATCACTGGGATTGTGGAAGTGATCCTCGGGGAAACCAAAGCCTATGTCTTCTTTGAGAAGGACTTTGGGGACATGCACTCCTACGTGCGAAGCCGAAAGAGGCTGCGGGAAGAGGAGGCTGCCCGGCTGTTCAAGCAGATTGTCTCTGCGGTGGCCCACTGCCACCAGTCAGCCATCGTGCTGGGGGACCTGAAGCTTAGGAAATTTGTCTTCTCCACGGAGGAGAGGTGAGTGGCCGCCTCAGCTCCTCTCGTGGCCTTTGGAACCATAGCGCAGGTTCATGTTGTGCAGTTCGGTTAAGTGTGCTGCTGCGGAGCAAACCCAAGGATACAGTTGCTCCCGGATTTAGAATTCAGAAGTCCTGCTCCGGAACAGTCACAGCCAAGGCTGGTTTACTCCATACTGCCTTGAATGGAGCCTAGGAACCCGCGTGCTTCTGTGGGTGTCCCATATTGACAGGTTGCCCTCCCCGCTTGTGCCCCAGGATCAGAAAGGTCAGAAAGGTCAGCCCTTGGGTTACAGATGCGGACCTGTGCTTTATAGCAGGGACTGCTAGAAGTTGTCAGACCCAGAACACCAGGTGTTCTGTGATGCCTAGACAGGACAGCTGGTTAGACTTGTCATATTCACAGAATTCCGCCCTGCCCACGGCATTTTTGCCGTCTCTCAGGCTAGGTCCTCCGTACTTTCTTCATGTTGTCCAGTGACTTCTTGGATATCTTGTTGGCTACATCTTCAGAAAATAGCCACATTGAATCATAAATAGAAGTTGGCTAGAGTTGATTGCTAAATATAGATCATGGCTTACCTCATAAAGGATGAGATGAGCTGGATAAGAGAATAATGAGACATTGAGATTCAAAGCGGAGGTTGCAGACAAGAGAATTCAGGAAGCCACATGAGGTAGACTGTACCTGATTGTAAGGCGCGGACCACAGGTCTTGTGGAAGGACAGGCAGCAGTGATGCTCTAGAATTTTAGAGTAGGGTGAGTTGTTTTGTTGTTTCCATTCCCACAGGGCTTACTCCTCCCAGACATTTTTACCTTTAACTCCAGAGCACCCTGAAAAATATAGGGTTGAATTGCCCCAGCATGACTCTGTACCTGACCTTGCTGTAATTACTGAGACATACAGATTAGCAAAGAAAAGCAAACTGTTTGCAATGAAGAAGTGTCCAATTCCTGGAACTTGTGTTCCTTTGGTAGGGTGATGCATTTTTCTGAAACATGCCTTACACACCTCCTTAGCAGCTTTTGAAATCTGCATTGCACAGGCCAGTGTCATGGGCGCAGGGTTTGGCAACCCAGGGGTTAAGCAATGGTAGGCTGACACTGTTCGTGTAACCAGCACAGGTGCAGGGTTTTAGTGCTACAGCAGCCAATCAGGGGCAGCCAGTGCACGTTGAGTCATATTTTCCGTTTACAGAACCAATGGGTATTTTACATAACGACAGGGAGGTCACGGTGAGGACATACTGAAGTTAGCACATGTATACTACACTCCAGGGAACAGGAAGGCAGGAAGGAAAAAAAAAACCAGACCTTTTAGAGGAAAAGGAATTGACCCATCAGCTCGAGCCAACTGTGTGCATTTAACTTCCCAGCGAGTGAAGTTAAACAGAAGCAGGGCTGTTGCTGAGAAGCAAGGAAAGGCCCGTGTAAAGCCTCCCGGCCTGGCTTCAGGCTTTGGAGACTCTGGAGACATGAGTGGCCAGTTCTAAATGCAGAGACGCTGCGATCACCTGCAGCTGCACAAGGGAGCCTTTGACTAAAAGATTCTGAGTTCCGACAGTGATAGCGACACCAGAACGGAGCCCTCCCCTGAGTACACACACTCAGGCATTGATGTTCTATGCTAGTGGGCACATGTGCTCAGGCAGGAGTTTTGGAGTCCCTCGTATCACCAGCCGCATTTGTCTGTTTATGCTGCCTCTATGTCCAGGCTAAGTGTCTCTAGCAGTTAAACACCCAGGAAATGTAATTGGCATTACTTGCAGCTCCCATCCTGGGACTCAGAGTTTCCCTGTGTGTGTGTGTGTGTGTGTGTGTGTGTGTGTGTGTGTCAGCGTGGGCAGAGTGCTAATGACCTGTGCACTCTACAGTGACCTCAGACTCCATGCTCTGTAATGTAAAACTTGTGTCTGAGTGGCCCTGGCACTCAGTGTCCTGAGAAAAATTGGCCTGAAGGTTGCCCCGTCCTCTCCAAGAAGTAGATACTGCTTGCCGTCCCCATAGCTTTTGTAGAAAATGTCAGCATTCTCCTGAGACGAGCTCCCAGCCCTGCAATGCGAACTTGGCCAATTGTGTAACCCTTATTAGGATATCTCTTACAAGCTAGAGCATCATGATTACTATTTGGGACTTTGCATCATACCCTCCACCCCAGGCGTTCTCTCAGTACTTTGAAACACTCATTGCAGTTTGTATTGGTTTGTGAAATCCGAGTTACTGGAGAAGGGGTAAATGGCATTCCTGAGCCTTTGCTATGAGTGCCTCTGGGCGCTGGTATTGGGAAGGCCTTGTTGGTGTTACTTGTTTTTTGTAATATTGGAGATTGAGCCCAGGGCCTCATCCAGGCTAGGCAAACACTGAGCCACATCTCCAGCTGTTTTTTCCTTGAGACGTGGTCTCGTTAAGCTGCCCAGGCTGGGCTTCGGGATAGCTGCTATTACAGGTATAGGCCACTGTGCCTGGCTGAGGCCTTGTTTCCTTAGATCTGTTCTGGACATAACAGCCTGGTTTTTCTCTTCTGCAGAACCCAGCTCAGACTGGAAAGCCTGGAAGATACGCACATAATCAAGGGTGAAGATGATGCCTTGTCAGACAAACATGGCTGCCCAGCCTACGTGAGCCCTGAGATTCTCAACACCACGGGCACCTACTCTGGAAAGGCTGCAGACGTTTGGAGCCTGGGCGTGATGCTGTACACCCTCTTGGTGGGACGATACCCTTTCCATGACTCAGACCCTAGTGCCCTTTTCTCCAAAATCCGACGTGGACAGTTCTGCATTCCCGACCACATTTCTCCCAAAGCCAGGTGCCTCATCCGCAGCCTCCTGCGGCGAGAGCCTTCTGAGAGACTCACTGCTCCTGAAATCTTACTCCATCCCTGGTTTGAGTCTGCCTTGGAACCTGGGTACCTTGACTCAGAAATGGGAACTTCAGACCAGATTGTTCCAGAGTACCAGGAGGACAGTGACATTAGTTCCTTCTTTTGCTAATCCCAGAAACCTCAGAAACCTCATAATTCTCACACATGGCATTTCCATTTCTGAAGACAGACTGGCCCTCTGGCATGGCGCCACCCAGATAGGGGACTGCACCCAGAGGGTCACTGCAGAGCTCACCGTGGTGCCCCCTTCTCGGTCGGGATGAGTGACTCTTGATCCAAGCAGAATCCACCCTGCTTGACCGTGCTGCCCGTTGTTCCCCTGCTTAATAAACTGTCACCAACTCTCCCTCCTTTGGATTTGGGGCTTCTGCAGGTCTTGAAGTTGGGAGAGATGTGGGCATCCTACCCTGTGTTCAGGTGTCACGAACTCGAGCGTTTGCGCAGGAAAGGAAGCAAATCGCACAGTGGCATTTTGGGCAGTAACTAACAGGATGACAAATAACTTGGGCCAATAAACTTGCCATCTCTGGATTCGTCTCTGGTAGCTGGACTCGCTACCGAGGTTTCTCTGATCAGAAAGTTGTGTTTTTGGTTTAACACTCACCTTCCCTTCACACTCACATGCACCAATGCCCGTGCTCCACTGTGGGAGCGGACTGAGGAGCTCAGGAGTCTGCCCGAACCCGGAGTCTGCTGAATCCTGCCAAGACACCCTATGCAACAGTGCCTCCCCTGCCCTTGGAACCTGCCCCTACAGCTCTGAGGGTGGTCCGCAGCTCACCCGGGGAGCCTTCGAGAGATGTGAGCTCCTGGCTGCTTCAGAACCCTGAGCTCATTAGTTCTTTAAAACTAATTTGATGACTTGAAACCATTAGCTTTCTGGCATCCCTTTGAGTAGCCAGCACACAGTCCTTTGCTTTCTGTCCCCAGACTGTCTTAGGTGGGGCATTTTGTCCAGGAGGAAGCGGACAAGGAGACTTCTCACTCCCCTCTCTCAGGAGCAAACGTTAAACATCTTCGTGCTTCAAAGAAGGCGTGTTTTGGAGTCTCAGGGACCCTCAAGCTGACTTCCACAGTGTGCCCTGGCCCGGGGGCTGGACGGGAGCATGTGTACAGCCGCGGTCTGTACACAGATGTGTGGTTTTGATGATATCTGTGCAGTCGGCTTCTGGGGGGACATAGCGAGCCCCAGACACGCTCAGTCACTTAGGACTTGAACAGTCATCTGATCTGACTCCTCGCCTCTTGCTGCCACCCCTACCACCGAAGCCCCCGAGCTGCTTTCGCAGTGGGCATCTGGCCTCTGTTCCAATGCTTCCAGACCAAAACTTACTCCCTACGAAGACAGGCTTCACGGAGAATCTGCAGCTTCCATTATAAACCAACGGGCAGCGCTGATCGGGTAGTGAAACGGGTAAACAAAACATACTGTATTCTGAGAAATGGCACAAAACCAGGCAGGCATCTTTAAGGGCTACGCCTAGGCAAACTACTAACCTGCATTGTGAGAACGCCGTGTATACCTCACGTACTGTGTACTTTGTACATATATTTTACCTTTTACACAGATGTCTGATGGGTTGTCGTGTTCAGCTCCTAGGCTTGTTCTGTGTCTGTGTTTGTCTGAATAACCTGCGTGTCTGAAGCCACGTGAAATGTGAATGATGTCGGCAGATGACCTTGTAGAATCTGGGCCTTGGGGCGAGGGGCCGGCCTCCGTCCGCTCTCGCTCTCTTGGTTATTTGACTCTTGTATCTGTGACATGTTACCCAGCTGGAGACTGGGCTGGCAGGGCTTCTGCCAGGACAGCTAGAAACACTAGATCCTCCCTGTATGTGTGTAGATACGCGACCAGTGAGACGGCTGTCGCGGACCTGTAGAGGATTTTAATAAATCTGCTTTCGTACAGAAGTGTGGTGACTTTCTTGGGGGCTCAGAACCTCGGGGATATGAGGTGAACAGACTCGAATGCCTTTCTACACTGCAGTGGGCGGGTGCGTTGGGAGTGGGGGTCGTTTGGTGAAACCAGGCAGGCTGGACCACGGCTGGCCTGAGCAGAGGCACGTTGGGAGGGAGCTTAGGTAGGGAGCTTGGGCCGAGAGACTCCCGGCTGTTACACCTGTTTCCTTTGGGGTCTTTTTGTTTTTCTTTTTTTGAGACAGGCTCGCTGTATAGTGCTGGCTGGCCTTGAACTGCTGCCTCAGCCTCCTGAGTGCTGGGATTGTAGGTATGCGCCCCCACACTGCAGTTTTTTTGTTTTCTGTTTTTTTTTTTTTTGTTTTTTTTTTTAGGTAGGGTCTCGCTATGCAGTTCAGGCTGGCCTGGAACTCACAACGATCCTCCTGCCTCAGCCTTCTGAGTGCTGGGATTATAGGCGTGCACTACCACGCCTGGCGTTCTGGGGGTTTCTTGAGGCAGGGTCTCATCCTGCTGGCTTTTAGTCCATAGGGCAGGAAACTTTTGAGAATTTGACACAAGTTACGAACCCTCCAGAATAATATCACAACCGAATTTTGCGTCTGCCTGGAGGGTCAGCAGTCCCTGAAGACCTCTCAGGACCCCTAAGAGATCCCCAATTAAAAGGGCTAAAGGACACCCTCAGCTTCCCGTTAGTGTAGAAATGGAAATGAAAACGGGAAAGCTGCCTAAACAGCATTAATCTGAATCACAAAGACAGAAAGCAAGCTTGTTTGATTTAACTAGGTGTGTGCGGCTTCATTATTACTCCAGACCGCACTGACGGGATAGACGTGTGCTCGGAGGCGTGTCCTCCATGAGTCCACACAGCACCACGGGGACGCCAGTGGTCAGGGCGGGCGGGATCTTGGGCAGGAGCGAGGGCGCTCCCTCCTGCCCGTCCACCCTGCTGGCACCTGCGCTTAGCATAACCACGGGGGACAGCTTTTAGCCCTAAGTGGTAGAAATCAGAGCATCAAGTGGTGGGCTCTGGTCTTGTGTGAGGGGGTGACCAGGCCTCAGGCTGAGCTCACCCGGAAAGCAGACCTGCGACAGTTCGGTTGGGCCTTGGGATCTGGGGGCTGAACAGGGGAAGGAGCACCCCAGCATGTGGGAAGGGCCACGAGCCTGGGCGGCTCAGGCCACCGGGGACCGGGACCTCTAGGCTGAGTGTCACCCGGCATGCGCCGGAGCCCTGAAGCAGCTGGACAGAACTTGGGCGCACGAATTCAAATACTTTGGACTCCATGGAGCTTTTAATCTAAGGGTTTCAAAACACTTCACAAGCAGTTAGGGTTATAGCACCCCTCTGTCCTGTTGTCACATGATCCAAGGGGAGAGCAGTGTGGGCCGGGACTGGTGGCAACGTGTGCTGTCACAGACCCATGAGTTTAATCCCTTCAGAGGCTGGCAGATCTGGGGCAACAGCGGACACTGATTATAGAAGCTTGGGGTGAGTGTGCTGAACGTGTTTATTTTCTCCCAGGCATCAACACATTAAATAACACCTCAGGGTGCTTTCTGGAAGTTTTGTTCTTTTGCTTTTTCATTCACATACCTCCTACGAATTTCTCTCTTTATGCACACAGCAGCTGAGTGAACTGGGGATGGTCAGTATTTCCATTTTACAGTTGAGAAAACTAAGGCTCAGGTGTCTTTCAGCCACTCAGGACCAAGCAGGTCAGAGCATAGATATGAGCCTGGGTCTTTGACTCTGTGTCCAGTGTTCTGTCAGCATATCCACACTGTTTTCTGCTAAGGATGAAAAGCAAACACAAATATGGAGCCTTTAGCTCCATTAATGTCCTCAAAATTACCCAGTACATCAGTCAGAAAGGCAGACACATGACTAAAAAGGAGATCCATTAGTCATTCAACAAACATTTACCATGTACCTACTATGTGCCAGACACTGGTAGACTCTTGGGAAACAGATAACTTCGACCTATCCCTAGGAGGCTGGAAGAAAAGCTCCATGAAGTGAGGGACTGTGGCTTCCCTGGCCCCCCAGCACCCAGCACAATGCCAACCATGGGAGAGTGTCAGATGCCAGCATGGAGGGCTGGGCAGGCAGGTAGCTGGACAGTGGGGGAGGCACGGGTGGATGACGCACGCAGGGATAGGCAGACCGCCAGACGCCTTTCACAGCGCAGGGCCCGATGTGCCCCCGGTTAGATCCAAGACTGCGGAGGTGGAAATCTCGAGGCCAGGTCCCAGCCACCTCTGGAGCCCTGCTCTCTGGACAAAAGCAACAGTCTGCCTGCTTTCCGTTTGCTCACTGTACTTTATTTTTGTGATAGCACCAGGGATTGAACTCAGGCCTTTGCCCTGAGATATTTCCCAAGTCCTTTTTATTTTTTATTCTGAGACAGGGTCTCACTAAATTGTCCAGGCTGGGCTTGAATTTAAAATCCTCCTGCCTCAGCCTCCCAAGTGCTAGGATGACAGGTGTGTGCCACCACTCCCGGCTCCTTTGATTATGTATGTATATTTTTCCTCTTGGTTTTTTTTGAGAGAGTCTCATTATGTAGTCCAGGCTGGCCTTGAACTTACTATGTAGCCCAGGCTAGCCTTGAACTTGTGGTGATCCTGCTGCCTCAGCCTCCTTAGTGCTGGGATCACGGGTTTGAGCTACCTTGCTGGGCTCAGGTGCTCCTTTGATCATCTTGGCTGCAGTCAAGGGCCTCCCTGGGCCTAGAAGTCTTTCCGAGACTGCCCCCAGCCCTGGTAAGTAGCTGCTGGACCCCTTCTCTGAGTGTTGGTGCTGAGACCCGAGGCGGAAGAGTCTGGTCAAGATCGTGAAGCTCCTTGGTGGATGGATGGGACTCAAGACTTTAGTGTCCACACTTGTCGTCCAGTTCTGTCCACACTGGTTCTCGTTTCTGAGACCGGAAGGACTGTGTCTTCTCTTTGCAGAAGCCCTTTTCAGGGGGTTCTGGCCCAGGAGTGTTTGCTGCACTGGGTCAGCACTGGGCTTGTCCCTGGGTGAGCATCATGAAGCAATTCCTGGGGCTCTAGGAGCCTGCTAAGCACTCCGTGAAGCCAGGAATTGAGGGGCTCAGAGCACGCTTTGAGGCACACTGCTTTGATCTGCTTTCTGTAACTCAGGGACCGAGACTCAGAGAGGGTGACCGCTCAGCCCAAAGTCACACAGCACAACCTTCATTTATGTGAAGGCTTCCGGCTCCCACGTTAGAGCCGGCAGGGAACCCCAGATACAGTTTAGCCCTTGGTGCAGCACGGCATTCTGAAAAGAGGAACAGAGCCTGCACGGAGCCTGGGGTCAGTGCTGGTCTCCTCCTTGTGACAAACGCACCATGGTAAACCATAAACTGACAGCATTGGGAGAAATGGCGCGGTGTAAAGGAGCTCTTTCTACTATTTCTGCAGCTTTGCTGGAAAACTAAAATTGTTCCAAAATAAAAAGTTCACCTTAAAAGATTGGTTGGGCATGGTGGCGCGTGCCTGTGGTCCAGGAAGCTGAGGCGGGACTGCAGGTTTGAGCCCAGCCTGGGCAGCTTAGTGACTCGGAAAGACCTGTGCTCAGTGTGAAGAGTCACAGGCATGTGCCGCCGCGCCTGGCCTCGGGTGCCATCTCCACCTGGACACTGCGTCCGAGGACGCAGTTTTCAGCCCCTGCCTGAGAGCCAGGGTGCGCTTTGGGGGCCCCGTTCTGTGCCCCCTCCGCCGAGCCTGGCTTGAGGGGGAAGGGCCAGGTCCAGTTCAGGGCTGCGGGCCCCCAGGCGCCAGGTCAGCTGCGCGGCGGGGCCAGGGACCTGCGCGCTGCGTTCATGGCGAGACCTCAGCACTCATTCTGGGCGGGTTCTGAGTTCTCTGTGCTTGGGACATTTCTCCCTTTTTTCACCTTTCTGTACTGGGGACTGAACCCAGGGCACCGCGGTCCATCCCCAGCCCTTCAGGTATTTTTCACTGTTGAGAAGAGGGACTCATTGAGTTGGCCAGGCTGTGCTCAAACTTGTGATGGTCCTGCTCTGGCCTCCCTGGTAGCTGGGATCACAGGTGTGCACCACCCCGCCTGGCCACCAAGCTGCAGCGCCACTGTGACCGGGACTTCATTTCGGGAGATAAAGAGCAACGATGAGTGCTTCACAGGGCTCCGGCTGTGGCGGGGCTGGTGACCCAGGGGAGCCCAGCCTGGGGCGGTGTTGGGGTCAGAGGGCCCCTCATCCTTGTCACCAGCTCCTCTCTAGCTCTTTCCCTAGTCAGCGGGTGGTGGGGGCCCTGGTGGCGGCCGTGGTCACTGAGCCTGGGCTTAGCCTACCAGCACTGAGTGGCCTGGCTTCTCTGACCATTTTCGGCACCTTTAGGGGAGCAATGGACTTGAACCCCCTGTCCCAGATGCCACCCTGGTCCCATCAGGGGAGCAGGGACTTGAAGAATCAGCGCTTCACTAGTTTCTGCTGAGGCAGAGGCCTGGTGCCAGCCAGCAGGGTGACACAGAGGTTGGACAGAGGCTGGGGTCACAGAGGCCCAGGGTTTGAAGCGTGGACCTGGGGTGAGGCACTGACTCCCCCCCCCCCAGCTCAGTCGCTTCACTTGTGAAATTCCTATAGCAGTAAGAAATCAGGCTCATGAATGTTTCTCACATGCCCGATGGGTAGAAAACGCTTAGCAGATGTTGGCTGTCAACAGCTTAGAGACAGCCAAGAGGCCTTTGAGCTCAGCACTCAGGAGGCTGAGGCAGGAGAATCGCTTGAGCCCAGCCTAGGCAACATAGTGATAGCCCGTCTTAGTTTGTTTACTTGTTTGTTGAGACGGGGTCTTGTTTTGCAGTTCAAGCTGAACTTTAAACTCACTATGTAGCCCAGGCTGGCTTTGAACTCTTGGTGATCCTTCTGCCTCAGTCTCCCCTGTGCTGGGATTACAGGTATGCACCACCACACCCAGCAACAATGTCACATTTTAGAAAAACAAATGAAAAAAGAAAAAGG